GAGTGCCCAGATGGACAGTGGGGGTGTGGGGCTAGGGACTGGCTGTGAGCTGACGCCCTCCACCGTGCCCCGACTTCCCAGACGACGTAGACCTGGAGCTGCGCCTGGCCCGCTTCGAGCAGCTCATCAGCCGGCGGCCCCTGCTCCTCAACAGCGTCCTGCTGCGCCAGAACCCGCACCACGTGCACGAGTGGCACAAGCGTGTGGCCCTGCACCAGGGCCGCCCCCGGGAGGTGTGTGACGGCCCCACCTCCAGAGCCTGTCTTCGCCCCGCCCTCCTCCGAGGCCCACCCCCTTCCCACCAGTTCCCCGCCCAGGCTGACTCAGCCCTTCCCGCCCAGATCATTAATACGTACACGGAGGCTGTGCAGACGGTGGACCCCTTCAAGGCCACCGGCAAGCCCCACACGCTGTGGGTCGCGTTCGCCAAGTTTTACGAGGACAACGGGCAGCTGGACGATGTGAGTGTGGGTGTTGCTTATGGGCGTCTTATGGGTCCTCTGCCCCGCCCCCTCGTGGGCGGGGTCTCAGCCTGGCCTCTGCCCGCCCCGCAGGCCCGCGTCATCTTGGAGAAAGCCACCAAGGTGAGCTTCAAGCAGGTGGACGACCTGGCCAGCGTGTGGTGCGAGTGTGGCGAGCTGGAGCTCCGGCACGAGAACTACGACCAGGCCTTGCGACTTCTGCGGGTGAGCATAGGCAGGTGAGGGGTGGGATGGACGGGCTTGGGCGCTGCAGGGTGTGCGGTCAGGGTTCCGGAGGCCCCCTGAGCGCCTCCCCCTGGGCTCCTTGCCCCTGCAGAAGGCGACAGCATTGCCTGCCCGGCGCGCTGAGTACTTTGATGGCTCAGAGCCTGTGCAGAACCGTGTGTACAAGTCTCTGAAGGTGTGGTCCATGCTGGCCGACCTGGAGGAGAGCCTCGGCACCTTCCAGGTGAGCCCCTGGGACAGGATGGGGGTGGGATTGCACCTTCCAGCTGAGCCCCTGGGATGGGATGCGCTCCCTGGGAGGGGAAGGGGGCTGACTCCACCCCCGGGGTGTGCCACCCTGTCCCTTCCCCACAGTCCACCAAGGCAGTGTATGACCGAATCCTGGACCTGCGCATTGCCACGCCACAGATCGTCATTAACTATGCCATGTTCCTGGAGGAGCACAAGTACTTTGAGGAGAGCTTCAAGGTGAGGGGGTCCCCACCCAGGTGTCTGGGGAACTGTTCATGTGCTCAGGCAGCCCCCACAAGGTACCCACCCATTGGGCAGCTTAACCCACAGAGGTGCGTTTTCTTCCTCATGGAGGCCCGAAGTCTGAGATCAAGGTATGGGCAGGGTTGCTTTCCTCTGAGACCGCCCCCCGCCTCTGGCTTGCAGAGGTCTCCTCTCTGTGGTGTTCTGGCGTGGCTGCCTCTGCTGTCACGAGGATGTCAGTTGTGTTGGAGCGAGGTCACCTTAGTCATCGCATTTTAATTCAAGTTACATCTTGTAAAGTTTTTTTTCCCAAACGCAATCTTGTTCTGAGGTACTGGGAGCTAGGGTTTCGACTTGAATTTGAGGGAACACGGGGACACGGGCCAGCTTGTGACAGGCGCAGAGTTCGGCCTGTGTGTGTGTGTGGTGGGGTGTCCCTGCCCTGCTGCTCGGGTGATGGGTTGTGTGCACGTGAAGGGTTTTCCATGTGTGTGTGTACACTCAGAGGGGCTTTGCCACACTCTGTGAAGTTTTGGTTGTGTACACGTGGGGACCGTGCACATATCTGGACAGGGGGGTGTTGTACACATGAGTGCCGCCTCTGAGTGTCAGGCCTGCCCCCTGCCTGGGTGGTGACCTTTCTCCCCAGGCTTCAGTGTCTGTGGAGCTGAGGATCTCTATTCCCTTTTTCAGCCATAAAGTTGCTGAGTTACCTTAGTGAGTCCTAGTCCAGCTCTGTCTAGGGTCCTGGCAGTCTGTAGAGGGAGACAGGCCACATATTGGCCGCCAGGCTGGGTTTTAATTGCGTGATCATGGGGAGGAGCAAGAGGGAGGGGCGGGCGTGAGGGGTCCTCCTGCTGAGGGCTCACACACAGCACCCCCTTGGGCAGGCATATGAGCGCGGCATCTCGTTGTTCAAGTGGCCCAACGTGTCGGACATCTGGAGTACTTACCTGACAAAGTTCATTGCCCGCTACGGGGGCCGCAAGCTGGAGCGGGCACGCGACCTCTTTGAGCAGGCGCTGGATGGCTGCCCTCCCAAATACGCGAAGAGTGAGAGGGGTCAAGTGGTTTTGGGGGGGGCATCGCGTCCCGGGCCCAACCGCTGACCTCTCACCGCACCCCCTGCTTCGTACTGCCGCAGCGCTGTACCTGCTCTATGCACAGCTGGAAGAAGAGTGGGGCCTGGCGCGGCACGCCATGGCAGTGTACGAGCGCGCCACCAGGGCCGTGGAGCCCGCGCAGCAGTATGACATGTTCAACATCTACATCAAGCGGGCGGCCGAGATCTACGGGGTCACCCACACCCGCAGCATCTATCAGAAGGCCATTGAGGTGCCCGCGTTGGGGGGTGGGGCGGAGGGGGGAAGAAGAGGGTCTTGCAGGCAGGGAATCTGAGCGAGCCTGTGTCTGTGTGGCAGACGGCACCCCCACCCCCATCCCAGCCTCCCTGACCCCTCCCAACCCCACCAGGTGCTGTCTGATGAGCATGCCCGGGAGATGTGCCTGCGGTTTGCTGACATGGAGTGCAAGCTCGGGGAGATCGACCGTGCCCGGGCCATATACAGCTTCTGCTCGCAGATCTGCGACCCCCGGGTAGGGACGGTCCTGAGCCTGGGGAGGGATGGGCGGGGGGTGGGAGGTTGTGGCCAAGCTGACCAGCTCACATTGCTGCTACCCTCCTCTGCAGACGACCGGTGCCTTCTGGCAGACGTGGAAGGACTTCGAGGTCCGGCATGGCAACGAGGACACCATCCGGGAGATGCTGCGGATCCGCCGCAGTGTGCAGGCCACATACAATACACAGGTCAACTTCATGGCCTCACAGATGCTCAAGGTGTCGGGCAGCGCCACGGGCACCGGTGAGTGAGCCCTTGCTATGGGCGCTGGCCACCCAGGTCTGTGAGCATCAGGGTCCACCCTGTCCCCCACGCCTCAGGCTGGGAACTCCCTGGGGGACCGGGGCCTCAGGCTCACGTGGGGGGTGCCCAGCTGCACCCAAAGCAAAGCAGGCGCGGTCCCCGCAGCGTCTGAGCCCCACGTTCCCTGCCCTCGCCCCCAGTGTCCGACCTGGCGCCCGGGCAGAGCGGCATGGATGACATGAAGCTGCTGGAGCAGCGTGCCGAGCAGCTGGCGGCGGAGGCTGAGCGGGACCAGCCCTCCAGGGCCCAGAGCAAAATCCTGTTCGTGAGGTGAGGGGGGCGCCCTGAGGCCGGGGCTCGGGGCCAGCCAGCTCTCAGGAGGGGAGGCACCGGGAGGTGGGGGGCCGCCGGCCCGGCTGAGCAGTGTGGCCCCCGCCCGCCCCAGGAGTGATGCCTCTCGGGAGGAGCTGGCTGAGCTGGCGCAGCAGGCCAACCCAGAGGAGATTGAGCTGGGCGAAGACGAGGATGAGGATGAGATGGACCTGGAGCCCAACGGTGAGGGGCCAGTGGGCAAGGGAGGGTGGAGGGTGGGGGCAGGACCCCCTCCCAGAGAGTGACCAAGTCCTCCTCACACCCCGCCCCCATCCAGAGGTGCGCCTGGAGCAGCAGAGCGTGCCAGCTGCTGTGTTCGGGAGCCTGAAGGAAGACTGACCCCCACCCCTGCCCATTCTGCCTTTCCCCTCAATGAAGCTTGTGTTTGTATGTCCTGGTCTGAGCCTCCTTCCTGCTCGCCCTCTCCTGCTGCCCAGGTGCCTGAGGGGTTTGCCAACTCAGCGCCCCGCCCCCCTCCACCCCCGGATTGGCTCATGTGGGAGGTGGGGCAGCTGGGCTCCAGGCCAGGGCAGGCACCCGCCCCACCCTCACCCCACCGAGCCAGTTCTGGACTCTGAGGCCAGTCTCTCTGAGGCCTGAGGGCTTGATCCTGGAGGGGCCCCACCCCGCTCCCCATCAGCAGGTAGACAGCACCCCACCTCTAACCCTGCCTCCCTGGGCGAGGGCGGCCCCCCCCCCCCCCACCCTTGGGAGGTGACTAGTCTGAGAGCTCTGGAGGCAGGCAGGCCTGACCACCTCCGAGATCTTAGCAAGGCTATTCTCTACCTGGACAGCAGCCAGGAGCCAGACCTCGGCCCTGGGCCACGGCCAGGGTGTGGTCCTTAGTCCTAAGCTCTGGGAAGCCATTAGTGGGCTCTAAGCTATTAAAGGATTTGAAGCATTCAGGGACTTAATCAGATTTGTGCCCTTAACAGGCCAGCCAGGCTGCTGTAGGACCGGCTGGTGGCAGGAGGTGACTGGGGATGCAGTCATGGGGACAGAGAAGCGAGTGAGCAGGGAGGCCTTCAGGAGGCGAACGTGCAGGATCAGATGACCCTGGGGAGGCTGAGGTTCCCCACTTGAGCTTGTGACATAGCTCCTCCACCTGAGACATCCGGGGGCCATGTCAAGGCAGCAACCTCAGACCTGGAGCTTGGAGGAGAGAAACAGGACCCTCTTGGCCCAGAGGTGGTCACCAAGCCTAGAAACGTAGGCAGGCGGCTGGGGAAGAGAAGATCAAGTTTAGCAGTTGGCCAAGGACCAAATGACAGGAGGGGCCGATAATAACAGCCAGGCTGAGGAGGAAAATGAAGCCAGTGGGGGTGGGGAGGGCTGGCCGGAAGCCCCAGGTGCCCAGGAGTTCAGCTGAGAGGCAGCTGGGAAGCGGCCACGGGGCCCTGGCAGGGGAGTCGTGCCAGACCTTGGCAGGAGCTGCACCAAAGCCATCGAAGGGGGCAGACAAGAGACTGGAGCAGGATCAAGAGAGAACTGGGAGACAGGAAGCGGTCGGCGAGTGTGGGAAACGCTCTCCTGCAGAGAGGTCCCAAGCCCCACAGCCATTCTCGGGGAGGTGCCAGTAGTCTTGTCTCTTTAAATTACTTTATTCAAGAAGGTGGGGAGGACAGACGGTGGGGGGCACTGAGCTGAGCCCTGAGTCCCTGAACCTCCCAGCTCAGCCCCCACGCAGGACGGGACAAAAATTAGGGGGTGGGGACTCCAGCCCCACCCACACAAGGTCGGGGACAGACAGGACCCAGGAACACCGACTGACTGTCCTCTAGGTTGGTTCCCGGAGGGGGTGGCGGTCGGAGTACACAGGGCCCGGCCTGCAGACCACCCAGGATGGGGCTATTTGGGGGTGCTGCTGCCCTTCTTGGGGGTGGTGGGCTTCTTGCTCTGCCAGAGGTGTCCCTGGATGGTGAAGGCATCCACGCTCATGGACATGGTCTTGGCGGGGATCTGCGTGAAGCGCTTGCGGTCTGAGTTATACTTATAGATGCCCTCGACCATGGCTGGCGTGACTGTGCGGGGGCCATAGCCCGCCAGCCGTGACAGCTCCTCTGTTTCCGCGGACAGCGTGTATAGGGCCCGGAACTGGCAGCTTGAGTCGCGGAAGAGGATCAGGAAGTGGTTGGCTTTGCTCTTCTCGATCTCCTGGTGGGTGGCAGACACAGTTAGCCAGGCTACCAGAGACCCCCCATCTGTCCCCAATCCCCCCCATAAAGCCCAGGTGAGGGCCTACCTCAAGAATGCGGTTCTTCTGTGGCTCATTCACCTTGCCCGCCAGGCAGCAATGTGACAGGGCGTTGTGGATGATGAACTTGTTGGACTTGGCACTCGGCTCCTTGTATAGCCGCGGACCTAGAGGGCAGGGCAGTGAGTAGGGACTGGTCGGGGCTGGTGCTCACCCCCCCGCCCCCCGCCAAAAGTCCCACCACCTACCCGTGTACTCAGGCACTGAGGCCGGGGAGGATGCGTTGCTGCCATTGTCCCACTCACGTTCACGGCTGCCGGGCAGGCGGCTCGGGGACATGAGGCCAGATGGAGATGGAGCCCTGCGGGGGAGGTGGGATGGCGGGGGGGTGCGGTCAGTGGTGAATGAAGTCAGTATGCAGTGAGACCCAGGAAGGGCGTGCCCAGGACACTGCAAAGCAGGATGTATCCACAGATACTGTCTGTGCTCCTAAGTCCCTGCAGGGCCAGGTCCCAGCCCTGGGCACGCTGAACATCCGGAGCAGAGAGGCGCATCCTTGGGTTCCGTCTCAGGTGTGTGACCTTCCATCTCTGGCAGTAAACATGTACCCTCGTGCCATATCACACTCCTAGGCGCGCATTCACAGCCCCCCAACACACACACACACACTCCGAGAGGCCACCTGGCCCACAAGCACCTGCACGTCCAGGCCAAACTCACCGAGATGTGGGCCTCTTCACGCCAAGGTTACTGGAGGCCTCGTTGGCCACTGTCGACAGAGACAGGGTGGACTGGGAGTAGATTTTGCTAAGCCGAGAGCCTGGGAGCAGAGGGTGTCGGGTCAGGCACCCCCACCAAGCCCCCTTACCTCCATGTATGCCCAGGGGGCCTGACCTGGCCGGTTGGAGAGGGAACATGGGAGTCAATGCTGCCTAAGACCCTCACCCCACACTGACCGCCCCCTGTCCCCCCTAAGCCAGGCTGTAGGGAAGCAGTGCCTGACCTGTTAAGCTGCGGAGAGAACTCTGGGCCAGTACCCTTCACCCTGCTGTGGCCCCCACATCCTTCTGGAAGCCCTGATCCCCCACACTGCAGCCCTGTGTGTGTGTACCCCAAGCTGCCCCACATGCCCCCAGGGGGCCTCACCCAGCAGCCCACGGGCTGGGCTCCGAGCCAGGGCTGAGTCATCGCAGCAACCAGAGCGTGGCCGGGGGGCCCTCCGACCGCCGCGGCCTGGCCCCCCACTCCCTGCTGCTCGGGGCCGCAGCACCTTATCCAGATCGTCCATCAACTTCAGCTGGGCCCGGCGTTCATACTCCAGCCGTGTGAACTCCCCCCGCCGGGGGCCCACCTCCTCCTCAGCGGGGGCCCGGGCAGCTGGGGCTGGGGTTGCAGCAGAGGCCGTAGGAGCTGTGGGTGCAGGAGGGCTGGGGGCCACCTCCTCCTGGGCCAGCCTGCGCATAGAGGAGATGGACGCAGTCAGACAGGTGGCGGGGTTGCCGGGGGCAGAGGTCCTGGGGCTGGGCTCAGCCTCACCTCGAGGCCTCCTCCCGCCGCTGCTCCTTCTCGGCCTCCTGCCACTGCTTCCTCCGCCGCGCCTCCTCGGCTCGCCGCTGCTGCCGTTCCAGCAGGCTGGCCCGCTTCTGGGCCATCTCGTCCTCGGGCTTGTCTTCATCCTGGGGGCAGGCACCAAGTGTAGCTGGCTGTCCCTCCCCTCGTTCGGCTGGAGTCTGTTTTGACCCAGCCTGCCAGCCACTCACGTGTCCTTGAGTATTTGTCACTGGTCTGAAGGCATCTGGTGGGTGCCTGCTGTGTGTGTGACCCCATGCTGGGTTCTGGGCACACAAAGGCCTCAACCCAGCCAGGATGCAACAATGGTGAGCACACTGCTGGGGCAGGATCTATCCTAGTCTGGGGACACCCGGAGAGGCTTCCTAGAGGAAGCAGCCTTGGAGAATGAGGTGGACTGAACTAGGTGTGTTGAGTGGTGAGGAGAGCATTCTGGGGAGGGAACAGGAAGTGCAAAGGCCCTGAGGTCAGAGCAGGTGTGGAGCAGGGAGACCAGTTTATTCTAGGAGCAAAGGGGAGCCACAGGAGGGTTTTAAATAGGGGAACGTGTTAGTCACTCAGTTGTGCCCGACTCTTTGTGACCCCATGGACTGTAGCCCGCCAGGCTCCTCTGTCCATGGAATTCTCCAGACAAGAATATTGTAGCAGGTTGTCATTCCCTTCTCCAGGGGATCTTCCTGACCCAGGGATCGAACTCCAGTGTCTTGCATTGCAGGCAGATTCTTTACTGTCAGCCACTGGGGAAGCCCACGAATAGAGGGGTGACAAGGTCCAATTTACGTTTTAAATAAATGCTAACTGCTCAGTTCACAGTGGCCAGGGGTTAGTGTGTGGTGAGGGGTGGGCAGTGAGACCAACCAGGGCGAGACTGCTGGTGTCCAAGTAAAAGGCACTGGCCCAGGCTGGGGATGCTGACAGAAAGAGGAATGATTGGATATGGAAGAATTCACAAGAGGAACTGGTGGGGCCATGCTGGGGGGAGTGGGGAGGACAGAACAGGAGGGAGGGGATGCCGTGGAAGACTCCAGCCGCATCTGTCCCTCTACCTATTCCTGTTCATCTGTCCATAACTCACCCACCCACCCATCCATCCACCAGGCCACCCCTGTCCATCTGTCTACCACTTACTTTCTGTTCACCCACTACCCACCCCATCTACATGTCCATCTGACCACGCACACCTTGTAGGTCTGCCTGCTCCCATCTGACTAACCATCTACCCATCTCTGTTCCCCTACCAGCTCTGTTTGATCATACACTGAGAAAGCCCCAGTCATGCGATCACCTGTCCACCTGCCTGTCTGCCCATCCATCCATCCATCCACCCACCTGGCCCCGCCCCCACCTGCTCAGGTGCTCACCTTATAGAAGAACCCCAGCCCGGCGCGGGGTTCTCCCTCTGAAGACGCTTCCTCCTCTAAGGAATCCTCAGCCCCAGGGGGGCTCCCATCTCCCTCCTCCTCAGCTGCTGGCTCCTCCAGGCTGCTCAGTGGGATCTCAATAAGGCTGGGCCGTGCTGTGGGCTCCTCGGGGGGCGGCCCCTCCGCCAGGAGGATGGAGGAGCGCGTCTGCACCGGCACCTGGCTCGGTGAAAACTTGCGCAGGTGGGGGAGGCTGTCCACGTCATGCGGGGGCGTGAGCACCCTGGTCAGGGGTGCCAGCCGCAGCTCTGCTGGCCGCGCGTGTTTGGGGCTGCGGGGTGTGGGGCTGGGGCCCGGGCTGGGGCCTGGCCCGTGGCTGCGCCGGGCAGCTGGGGTGCGCCGGGCGGGGCTGGGGGATGCGGCTTTGGGGCCCGTTGTGGGACCGGGGATGACCCATGCGGCGGCAGCGGGAGTAGGGGCGGCTGTGGAGGACTCGGGTGGGGCCAGGAGCCGCTGCTGCTGGTCTGTGAGCCTCTGCATGTCCCGTTGCAGAGAGTTCAGCGCCGCGCTCAGCTTGCTCACTGCCCGGTTATAGTCCCCCAGTCCTTCGGGGGGCACGGGGCCCAGTTCTGGTGAGAAGGTCACCGCCTTTGGCCGTGGGGACGGCTCACCCTGGCCCTCACCTGCTGGCCGCTCCCCGCCAGGGGCCGGGCCCAGCTCTGCCTCCGCTTCCCCACCGACCTCCCGGGGCTGCACCTGCAGGAAAGCGTTCTTGCCCAGTCGCTGGCGGTGCTTGGCAAAGATGGCCTCGATCCGTCGCTTCTGGGCCTCGATGGCCCGGCGTTTCTCCTCTAGCCGGGCTCCAAGCTCACTCATCTCTGAACTCAGGGCCTCCGGTGCCCCCGGGGTGGCCACCGGGGACCCGGCTTCAACCTCGGCCTTCACCAACTGCTTCTTGCGTTCAGCAAAGCTGGTCATTTTCACTTCGGAGTTGCTGGCTGCTGGGGACGAAGCTGCCACCTTCGGGGAACCCTCAGGCAGGGCTGCTGGTTTTGATACCTCCCCGGCTGGACAGGGAGCCGGTTTTGAGGGGCCCTCGGGATGGGGCAAGTAGGCAGGTACTTTGGTGGGCCCGTCAGGCAGTGGTTTCGAGGCCCCCTCTGGTGGGTAGGGGGAAGCCAGCGGCAGTTTAGAGGACCCCTCGGGGGAGTGGAGGTAGAAGCTGCCATCCGCAGCCCCGTCTGGGAGCAGCCGGGGCTCGGCACTGTGGATGATCTGCAGGGCCTCCTCGATGGTAGGCAGGTCACCAGTCTCCGGGGGTGGCTGCGCGGGGGTCCGGGCTGGCACAGGGCGCTGGGGACCCAGGCTGTCTGAGCTGACGGAGCGCAGTAGGACGGGGTCTCCCATGACAACATCCACGTCGCTGTCCAGGCCAAAGGGGGTGCTGAACGACACGGCCTGGGAAAGGGGACGGCTGGGCGGCCGGAGGGAAGGGTCAGCCCCTGGGACAGGTCCAGGCCCCACCCAGGCCCCTCTGACTCCACTACCCGGGCCCTTTCGATGTGCTCACCTGAGCTGACGGTTCCAGGCTTTGCCGAGGGCCTCCATGTGGGACATGGACGGGGAGGACTTGAGCGAGCCTGGGGAGGGGTGATAAGTGGTCATTCTGGGGTCACTGGGGACCCTGGGTGGGGTGAGCCATGGGGTGTCAGTGGATGAGTCACTGATGGGGCATTATGTGGATGGATAGCTGGGGCCACGTGGTGTCACTAGCGGGTCCTTGTGAGCCCCTGGGGAGGTCACTGTGGGGGCCAGTGAATGTCACCAAGGAAGTCATTCAGGCAGCAGACAGACCCAATGGAGGGGTCACAAGCTGCCCACATGAGGTCAGTAGGGGCAGTCTTTGGGTGCCAGTGATGAGCCATCCCCCTGCCCTCACCTGTGGATCCTCGGAGTGGGGACTGGGGGCCACCAGCTGACAGGAGTGGATGGCGGAAATTGAAGACAGGAGAGCTGCCAAGAGAGGTGTGTCAGCTAAGGGTCCCCCCATCCCCCCCCCACCCATCTTGGGAGTAGAGACCAGAGTACCCCCCAACACTTCCCCTCTAGCCAACCCAGCAGGAGGAGAGACCCAGCAGGAGGAGGAACCCATTGTGGCTGGGAAGTCTCCACCCTCCAGGGGATGTACCTGCTGCCACTGTTGTTCTGGGGAGTAGAGGCCTCTGTGGCCTGGGGGGAGGCGGCTGCAAGCAGAGCAGAGAGTCAGGCAGGGCTTGGTCTTCTCCCCACCATCCCCCTCAACCCCATCCCACCCCAGGTCTGGGACCAGGCCTTACCGTGACCATCGGGCAGATCCTTGACCTGCACAAAGTCGGGTTTCAGCACCTCAAAGCACATGAACAACTCAGCCAGCAGCACCATCAGGTTGATCTGGAGGCGAGAGGCAGGGTCAGTCACCCGGACCCACAGCCCCAGATGCCCATGAGGCCCACGAGGTAGCCTTACCTTGAGGGGTGGTGGGACATAGAGAAGGTCCTCCAAGGACAGCGGGCAGCCCCGAGGGAGGCGGGAGGCACAGAAATCCTGCACCAGCTGGAGGTTGTACAGGCTGTCCGCCACAGACATGGGGTCCTTGAGGCATACCTCTGTAGGGACAGGATGCCTGGGTCCCTGGCTCTCCGGAAGAGAGGATGGGGTCCCAGCACATAGTATACATGGACACCTTCGATTGATGAGCTGAGCCAGGCCCCCTTCACAGGTGGGTGTCGTGACAGGCTGTCTGTCCGTCAGGTCTTTGCATCTACTCTCCCCACCGCCTGGAATGCTAGTCCCCCTAGAACTCAACTCAAAAGGCTTCTGACTACCCAGCACCTAACAGAGTACCTAACATGCAGAACATTCCTCTAGATGAACTGATGGTTCATTCTCTCAACTAGGATGTGAGCCGCCTGAGGCCAGGGGCAGGGCCATATTGTTTTCGTTGGATCTCTTGGTGCCTAAAATAGGATCTGGCACACAGTTTGTACTCTACTTATATTTGCTGCAGGACTGAACTATGGAATCAAACAGTATGGCTCAGATGGTAAAGACTCTTCCTGCAGTGCAGGAGACCTGGGTTCAATCCCTGGGTTGGCAAGATCCCCAGGAGGAGGGCATGACAACCCACTCCAGTATTCTTGCCTGGAGAATCCCATGGGCAGAGGAGCCTGGCAGTCTACAGCGGGGTCACAAAGTGTCAGACACAACTGAGCAATTAACACACACTGAATTATAGGCAGCACAGAGAGGTTTAGACACTTGGGCAAGGTCACACAGCTCATTAACAGAAGAGAGAGGTTCAAACTCAGGTCTGCCAATCCTGGGAGCTACACTTAAAATCTCTGCGATACTCTGGGGACAGGGGCCAAGGCCTGGGTGCCAGGCTTGTCGGGACAGGATCTGGCTCGGACCCGTTCACTCACCCTCAAGTCGCAAGAGCTGGGGACAATAGCAATGGATTGTGGCGGCCAGCGCAGCCCCACTTGCCAGGTCTTGGAGGCTGGTCACCGTTGGAAAGCAGGGGGCGCGTCGGGCCACAGCGCGGTCCTTGCGATATCGAATCTGCGGGTGGGAGCCGTATCAGGTCAGAGGTTGAGCTGGCCCCCAAGTCAGCAGTCATGCAAGCTGTGTGGGGAGGCCTGGGGTTTCTACCACGGAGGGGCGTGAAGCCAGAGGGGGGTCCCAGAGCCAGAGTGGGAGGGGGGCCAGCCTGGAGCAGGGTGGGGAAGGGCAGCAGCAAGAGGCAGAGGAGGTGTCCGCGAGCAGCCAGGCCAGCAGCGGGGGCTGGGGGCAGAGACTCCTGAGACTCTGGGGCGGGGGATACATTACCATGGGGGGTTTGCTCCCCGACTCCTTCAAACAGAAGGCAATTGCGTGCTGGGGGGGAGAGGAGCAGCCGTCAGCGGGGCGGGAGGGGTGCTGACTTGCTGGGCCCCCAAGCACACCTCCAGGATGGGGGACGGCCCTGACCCCTGTCCTGAGCCCTGGCCGTCCAGCTCCCTGGCTGTGCTCTGGCCGGCTTTGGGGACCCCAGCACCTCCCAGCACGGAGGGACCCAACAGAGCAGCCTCTCATGCAGAAAGTCCTCCCCCACCCACTCAAAAGACCCAGGCTGGGGGAGGGGATGCAGAGGAAGCAGGGAGGCAGGAGAGGAGCCCCCGACCCAGGCCCTAGGGTGGGGGAAAGGAGGAGGCCCTGAAGTGAGCAAAGGCAGGGGCTTCAGCCCAAAGCACCCCCACCCTCACCCCACTTGCAGTGGTCACTTTCCCCTTGTTGCACTTCAGGGATGGACACCCCACTGCCTCCAGAGCTGGGAGCAGGGAGCTGTCCTGAGGGAAGCTGGAGGCTGTTAAGAAGGTTCCTCTCCCCTCTTTTGGGTTTGAGGATCTTCCTCTTGGCCAGAGGGGTCTTCTCCCTGTGCCCTGCCTGCTGGGGTCAGGATCCAAGTGTCTGATGGGCTGGGGTCCTCCCTTCAGAAGCCCCAGAGGTCTCCCCACCTCGGCTCAGGGGGACAAGCCTTGGATTACTGGGAAGGGGAGTCATGTACCAGGGGAGAAGTAAGAGCAGAGATGACCCTCATGCCTTGGTTCCCCAAAGGGCTTCTCTCTGTCCCCCAGGGCTGGGTCCCACTCCTTTGCTCATAACAGGGAGCAGGGGAGAACAGGAGAGGGAACGGGACAGGCAGGCAGAAAGAGACACACAGACAGACAGCAACAAGCAGGGCAGGCAGACAGGGAGGAGAGACGGCCCCACTTACAGGAACCAGCTTCCAGTACCAGCGTGTGGGGCACTGATGCCAGAGAGGCAGAGAGGAGAGTGTGGCAGGAGTGGGCAGAGGCAAGAGGGCAGAGAGAGAGAGAGAGAGTCACTTCCGGCCCCCCCAAGAGCAGGAATGGCCTTGAGGCACAGCCCTGACCTGCCCATCCCGCCCTCAGAGATCCACCCCTCCCTCCTTCCATCCATCACTCCAGTCTCACCGAAGGCTGCGCTGGGGCCACGCCATCTGCAGGGGCCACCGGAGATGCTCTCTGGGCAGCTTCCTGCTCCGTCTTCTCCTGCAGCCGCCGGATGGTCTGCGGAGCAGGGAGAGGTTAGCGCTCCAGTCGCGACTGGTCCTGGCCGCCCGCCCCCCTCCCCATCCTGGCCCAACCCCCACCTACCGTGTCTACCCAGAAAAGGAGCTTGTGCTCCAAGCTGGCTAGGGCCAAGGGACCAGGCAGTGTCTTTGTCCACTCGAAGGCGAAGGCAACCATGAGGGCATCAATGACAGCTAGGTGGGCTCCCTGTGGGGGCAAGGGCTGAAGGGTGAGCCCAGAGCGCAGGTTGGAGGCCTCCAAGGGAAAAGAAACAGGAAAAACCTGGAGGTGGGAGGGTCTTGCAGTGGGACGGGCTTTGGGAAGCAGGCCAAGCTTGAAAGGGAAAGTTAAAGTCGCTCAGTGTCCTACTCTTTGCGACCTCATGGATTATACAGCCCATAGAATTCTCCAGGCCAGAATACTTTGAGGTCACAAACTAGGCCTTAGCGATCTGGCTGCCAAAGTAGCGCCTTTTTGGGAGGCGCCAGACTTGGTAGGAAGAGCCAGGTCTGATGGGCGGAGCCTTTGTGGGGGAGGGGCCTTGTTGGGCGGGGCGGGGCCTGGCTGGGCAGGGGCGGGGCCTACCATGAGGATAGGCTGGTGCCTCAGGTCGGCCTCCTGCACCGGACGCTCGGGCAGCGCAGGCACTGTGCCCCTCCGTGCCAGCAGTGCCAGAAGTGCAGAGGGGCTAGGGGGCGCTTCGAGCTGCGGCAGCGCCTGGCGCCAGGCCCGGCAGTACAGCTCGGCAGAGAGCAGCAGCCGTGTCACCGGGGGCTTCACGTGCTCCTGGGCGTACTGATCCGTGTAGAAGGGCTCCCACAGCTCCGAGGGCACATGCTCTGCGGGGGCGGAGTGGGGGTAATGGCAGGGTCAGGGCCACGGGGCACGAACCCCCATACTTGCAACCCCGTGGACTGTGTAGCCTACCAGGCTCCTCAGGGATCAACCCAAGGATCAACCCAGGGATTGAACCCGGAATTCCAGCATCGCAGGCAGATTCTTTCCCGTCTGAGCCACCAGGGAAGCCCTTACATACAATTACACGGCCCCAATTAAAGCAGGGGTGGGTGGAGTGTGGGCAGGGGCAGGTCTGTACCAAGGAGGATGGCACCAAGATGGGAGAATAGGGGACCTGGGCTACGACAAGAGGCGCACATGTCGGGGAGTTTCCCAGAGTAAGAGATGACGGTGTTTCTGCATACTAAGAAGAGACGGTGGGACGGAGCACCTTGCCTAGAGGAGATGGTGGTCTCTTGGACCCAGAGTGGAAATGGAGCTCAGATAGACAGGGTCTTGTAGCCACGCCCCTCTCCCTCACCTAAGGGCAACAGTGACTAGAAGGGTTAATGGACCTCCCTGGTGCTTCTTACCACCCCGAGTGGACTCGCTTCCCCTTACAGCAACCCTAGGAAGAGGCAGCCTGGGCACACGTGGCAGCTCCGCTTTACAGATGAGGAAACCTAGTCACCAAGGCCACACAGCTCATCAAGGCTGGGACTGGGGGACTTCCCTGGGGGGCCAGTAGCTAAGACTCCGCACACCCCTGGTCAGGGAACTAGATCCACATGCCTCAACTAAGAGTTCGCATGGCGCAACTATCCAAACAAATAAATATTTAAAAAAAAAAAAAAGGTTGGGACTGGGATTCAAACCCAGGTCTCAAGGAGACTACACCCTTAGAGTGAAGGCTGGAGGTGGGATGAGCTGTGGAGTGGAGGTCTGGCTGGAGGGGCATAGAATGCAGGAGGGGACAGACTGCAAACACATTGAGAGGGGTGAATAGCCTGAACTTGGTGACTGAAGGGAGGGGGTGGGGGAAGAGAGGCACCCAGAGCCCTATCTGGAGGGGGAAGGCAGATGGGAGAAACAGGGTGTTGGCTGAGATGGGGGTACAGGATGGCCTGGGACTTAGAGGCAGCCATGGAAACTCTGAAAGAGAGGGGCAAGGTAAGAAGAGGAGGCTTGAGGAAGCCCCAGGGGGAGGGCAGTAGCAGAACCCCAACCAAGTAGAACCCAAGGGTGAGGAGGAGAAAAATCAGAGCCACCAGGAAGATTCTGGAGGTAGAGAAGGAGGATCCAACTCAGTTGGATCTGCCCCCCTGGGCCTTCCAGGGAGGCCCCAAGTCTTATCCCAGTCAGAGCCACTGCTCTGTACACTTGGGTTCTGCCTGTGTTGGAAGAATGTGAGGAGGCGGGATTGTACCGCTTAGAAACATCTGAATGTGACATACCAGGCCTTCCTCAGGTGCCTGAATTCACAGCAGTGCTCCCCCCAGGTCCTGGCCCTCAGCTACAAGGACCCAGGCACCCTTGCCTTCAACCCCTCCTTGCCCCCCGATCTTTCCCCACCCCTTAAACTCACACTTGACCTTCCCGCTTAATACCAAAACCTTGTTAAGAGTTGGGCCATCTCCTTGCCCCTTCAAGGAAAAGTTCTCCAAAGCGAGAGATTATATTATGTGAAGTCAGACAGAGAAACACAAATATCAAACTTGGAATATGTGGAATATTCCATATGTGGAATCTAAAAAAATGATACAAAGGAGTTTATTTACAAAATAGAAACAAGATTTACAGACACAGAAAACAAACAGGGTTACTAAAGGGGAAGCGGGGAGTGATTAATTAGGAATTTAGGATTAACATATACATAGTACTGTGAACTAGATAACCAACTAGGACCTACTGCAGAGCACAGAAAACTATACTCAATATCTTATAATAACCTATACTGAAAAATAATCTGAAAATGAATGTGTGTGTGTGTTCAGTCATCCAGTCACGTCAAGCTCTTTGCAACCCCATGGACTGTAGCTCGTCAGCTCCTTTGTCCATGGAATTTTCAAGGCAAGAATCTTGGAGCAGGTTGCCATTTCCTTCCTACTCCAGGGGATCTTCCCAACCCAGGGATTGAACCCATGTCTCTTGCATATCCCTCATTGACAGGTGGATTCTTAACCACTTCACTACCTGGGAAGCCGATATATGTATGTATAACTGAGTCACTTTGCTGTTTATGTGAAACTAAACACAACATTGTAACTATACTCCAATTTAAAAAAAGAAAAAAGAGTTCTCTAGCTTCTCTTTCCTTCCACGCTACTCCCGTTCAGACCCCTCCCCATCTGTTCCTTACTTTGTAGCTCCCAGCCTCCCCAAGGCCAGCAGTGGCCTTCCAACACCCACTATCTTGCCTGGGCTCTCTGCCGAGCACCTCCTTCTTTGGGAAGTCTTCCTCCCTCTGGTGTCTCCCGACATCCTAACTCTTTTTTCTTTCTCCCACCACTCAAGCCTGGCTGCCTACCCCCGTGCCTTTTCATTGCTGGGCTTCTGATAGCTCTGTCTAAGCAGCCCTGTCAATGGACATCCTCCCCCCACCTCCTTCCCACCATGGTGATGGCTTCCATGGTCATCTGAGCCCTGCCTCCTGCTGCAGCCCAGGCATTGCCCCTAATCCTTAGCATCTTTCTCCTTCTCTCTGTTCCCATCACAGTGAGAGAACACCATCCCTCCTTCTCTCTCCCCACCTCCAACATCCTGTCAGTCACTCACTGGGCTTCAGCTCCAGGTATCCCCTGAAACCAAACCCTCCTCCCTCTCTCTCTAGCTCCTGGTTTGCTTCCTACTCTCATCAGCAAAATGAAACAAGTTTCTTTCCTGCAGGACTTGTCAGGGCCTTGAAGATGACAACTTGAGCTGGAGCTACCGATGGCTACTGTTTATTAAGGGGCTTCCGGGGTCAGGGGATTCCCAGGTGGTGCAGTGGTCAAGAATTCACGTGCCAATGCAGGGGACACAAGAGACGTGGGTTTGATCCCTGGGAGGGAAAAATCCCCTGGAGGAGGGCATAGCAACCCACTCCAGTATTCTTGTCTGGGAAATCCCATGGACAGAGGAGCCTGGTGGTCAACAGTCCATAGGGTTGCAAAGAGTCAGACAAGACCAAGCACACACAATGTTTATCAAGTACTTAGGTTATACTAGCGTGTCTTTGCCGAGGCACAACTGGCATTTGGGGCTGGATGCTTTGTGTTTAGTGGGGCTATAGGTGTGAGGAATTGCGGCAGGGAATGCTGTTCTGGGCATTGTAACATGTTTAGCAGACTTCCTGGTCTTTCCTCACGAGCTGACAAGAGCACAGTCCTCTCTAATGGTGACAACCAAAGATATTCCCAAACAATGCCACATGGCCCCTAAGTGTCAAACTCATCCTTGGTTGAGAACTGCAGCTCTATACTATAAAATGTTTATTGGAGCATTTAATACTGTCCGACAGGAACAGAATATGAGCCACACAAGAAGGTTAAAATTTTCTATTGCACCATTTAAACAGCAGCAAGGAGTAACATGACCTTATAATATATCTCACCCAATATATATATATAGGTAATATATATCTTAGTGATATATCTCACCATATATATATATATATATATATCCAAAATATTATTTCAACATGTCAAGATAAAAACATTATTAATGAGATGTCCACATTTTTTTTTTGGTACCAGGTCCCCAGAAGCCACTGTGTATTTTACATTGAGAGCCTCTCACAAGTCATATCAGCCACATGTTGCTCTTGAGAGTCCCTTGAACTGCAAGGAGATCAAACCAGTCAGTCCTAAAGGAAATCAACCCTGAATATTCATGGGAAGGACTGATGCTGAAGCTGAAGCTCCAATACTTTCACCATCTGATGTGAAGAGCAGACTCATTGGAAGAGACAGTGATGCTGGGAAAGATTGAGGGCAGGAGGAAAAGGGGACGACAAAGGATAAGATGGTTGGACAGCATCACCGACTCAATGGACATGAGTTTGAGCAACCTCCAGGAGATAGCGAAGGATAGGGAAGTCTGGTGTGCTGCAATCCATGGGGTTGCAAAGAGGTGGACATGACTAAGTGACTGAACAACAACATGTTGCTTGTGGCTGCCACACTGGACAGCACGGCTAGCTTTTGGACCACCCACCTTGTGTGCATCTGCTCATGGCATTCCTTTTTTTTTAATTGGAGGATAACCGCTTTACAATGTTGTATTGGTTTCTGCCATACACCGTGAACCAGCCATAAGTATCCGTATATCCCCTCCCTTTGAGCCTCCTCCCGCCCCCCCTTGCTCATGGAATTTTTATGAAACTTATCCACTGTACAGATGGGAAAACATAGACCCAGACAGCTAAGATGACTTGGCCAAGATCAAAGAGCTAGCAAAAGGTGGAGCCGACGGGACCCTAGCTCCCTAGAGCATCACAGGGAGGTTCTGGTGGCCTGAGGGACTGCATGTAGTGTTTCCCAAACTTGTATAAAGATGGCACCATTCCTTATCTTATCTCTGAGCTCACTCTGGAGCCCACTAGCCTGCATTCCTGCCAACCTCCTCAGGACTGGGCCCCGGGCCACCATAAAGACCCCTTCCCCCTAGCCATTTTTCCCCAGTGGGGCAACTGCATAACTGATATCATCTTCTCAGTCCCCAAACATCTTCCCTGGCTCCCCAGGGCCCTCAGATCCCCACATGTGGCCTGAAAGGACCTCTCCAATAGCACCAGACTCCCTCATCAGCCCCAGCCACTCCTGGGCACAGCACAGAGAACTCCCTGTGGGTCTCCTCCCCCTAGAAAACTCCTACACACCCTTCAAGGTCCAAACACTCCTTCCTCTAGTGAGCTGTCTGTCCCTTCTCCTCCCTTCCCTGGAAGATTTCTAGGATTTCCTCCCCCAGCCCCTCTGCAGGGCTGGCAGCCCGCTTCAACACTGCTTGGACATTACTGGCTTTATCACTAGAAGAAGCAACGGTCTGGTTTTGGGTCCCATCGTCCTCTCTCCAGAGTTCATCCCCATCTTTTCTGTCCTGAGCTCCCAGCACTGGCCTGGCACCCAACAGGCATCAGTAAAAGAGTTCCAGAGTTCATGGGTCAAGCAGGGGTCTGCTCACCACTTCCTGCTTAGAGCCTGGGTCCCCCCTTCCTCAGTCCCCCTCTGTTCAGAGAACATGGGTGAGGGGACAGACTGAACTTGACCCTCTGGGACCATATCACACAATTCGGGGGAGCTGAGTCAGTGAAAACAGAACCGGGTAAGTCAGGGCATCCTCCCAGAGACCTGACTTTTCTTTCTGCAAAATGGAATAGTAATTTCTCTTCGGTCCCCTGGCCAGATGACAAATAATATTATTATTAATAAAAACACCACCGGTCATGGCAGCAGAAATAGCGACATCTGCTTAGTGTGTACAGTGGGCCAAACACAGAAGAATCCCATGGTCTGTCTGTCTCACCTTGTGAAAGATGGAACTGGGACCCCCCTCACCCCAGCACTGCCCTGGGACTTAGTGGACAATTGTGAAATGCATAACAAAGTGAACACATGCCTTCTTTTACAGAGGACTCAACAGAAGCTTAGAGAATTGGGTTAATTCATCCACATTCTGGGGGAGCGCGACACTCAAACCCAGCTGATTCCCAAAGCTGAGTCCTCCGTGGCCTCATAACTTGGGATTTGGGGGGCTGGGGCAGACTGGGCTCTCTCCCTGCCAATCCCTCCTCTCTTCCTCAAGCTGGTATTCGGGGGTTGGTGGGCTCTAGAGTGGGCCCTGCCTGGGAGACTGCAGGGAAAGAGACTGGGAGAAAAAGACAGGCTCAGGCGGAACCAGGAGACAGACGGACAGCTGTCACCAAGACCCACACCCAGAACAGGTTGATCTGGGAAGGCCACTGAAGGGGGGATGGGCTGTGCTCAGCTGGTGCCAAGACCAGTGGGTAGGACCCGTAGGCGGGCAGGGCGTCCCCCCAGAAGGCCCAGACCTTAATTAACTCGTCTTCCCCATGGCCAGGCCCTGACTCCCGGCTCTGGCACGAGGCCATGACTGAAACTGCCCTGGGCCTCAAATCCTAGGGATGTACCCGCATCCTCCTCCCCCGTGGGGTGGCCCCAGGTCTCCACACATGTGGGTCTTGGGGAGGAAGTGGGACAAGGCCCCACATCTGGGCCCCCACTCCCGGCGATCATGGATAAGCCATTTCCCTTCCGCCGGGCTCGCCTGCCTCCTGAGTAAAATGGGGCAATAAGTCACAGCTGCCAGCCGCCGGCCAGAGCCATAGAGGCTAGAGAGGGGCTTCCTGGAGCTCCCCTCGCCGCCCGCAGCGCAGGCAGGGCCGACGCCGGGTGTGTGTGTCCGGCCTGGACAGGGGCGGGGGTCCTCGCGGGCGCGTGATGTGAGGGTGTAAAAGGTGGGGGGAGGACGTGCCAGAGGCGAGGCTCGCACTGGGGGACACCACTCGGCCCACAGACCCTGCCCGGCTCACCTGAAGACCCGGACGCCCCGATCGTGGCGCGGAGCCGGGCAGCCGGCCCCACCCCCACCGCGCTCCCGCAGCCGCGCGGGCAAAGTCCACCGCCCGGGCCGAGCAGGAAGCCCAGAGGCCCGGCGCCGAGGGGCCCAGGCCCGGGGACCCCCCCGCCCCCGGCGGCCGGCGCTATTGTTCCCACGGCCCCGGCCTCCCCAGCGCGGCGCCCCGCCCCCCGCACCTGCCGCCCCCTCTTCCCCTGGCCCCGGTACCTGCGCCCCCGAACGCGGCCCGCAGCACCCACGCCAGGCTGGCCGCCGCCTTGGCCCGCGAGAAATCATACTGGTCCAGCGACTTGATCTCGGGCACCAGGAAGGTCCTCCGCAGCGGCCCGGGCCCCGGGGGCGCCGCCTCCACCATGGCGGCGCGGGGGCTGCGGGCACCGGCTCCGCGCTCGCTCGGATCCTCCTCCTGCTCATGCCCGGGCCCGCCGCCGCCGCCACCACAGCCGCCACCACCACCACCACCGCAGGCGAGCCAGGTGCGGCCGCTCGCGCTCACGACGCTGCGTCGGCCCCGCCCCGGGGCGGAGCCCAGGTGCGCCCCGCCCCCGGCCCTGGCCCCCGACCCGGTCCCCTCGCCTGACCCGGTCCCCTCGACTCTCCCGGTCCCCTCGCCTCGCCCGGCCCCTCGCCGCCGCAGGGTGGGGCGGGCCCAGACTGCGGTGGCGGCGGGGGAGGCTGCGGAGGAGTGTATGTGTGTGCGCGCGCCCGCGCGCGCTTGTCTGTGTGCGCGCACTGGGGAGGATGAGGGACCCTCGGCTTGCGGGTGTGTGTGCCGGCACAAGTGTTGTTTCCTTAGATCAGAGTGTGAGCTTGTCATTCCTGGCCCGGAGGCAGCGCGCCCGTGGGTGCACCTGTTTCTCATTGTGTCTTGGGAGCGTCCAAGAATGGGTGTCTGTGTTGGCACCAGTGTGTGGTCTCTGCACGTGTTTGGCTGGTGAACGAGTGTGTTTGAGCGTGTCTGCATGTGCGTTTCTGTGTGAGTGTGGGACAACGCGTGTGTGTGTCCTTGATTTTCATGAGTGTTGTGTTTTCAAGGATCTATATTGTGTAGGTGCCTGTGTCCTTAAGATACAGGAGTATTTGTATTTTGTCATTGTGCTTGTGAGTGTGCCTATTTGTGAGCATTTAAATGTACTTGTATTATGTATCAGTGTGATGAATGTCAATGAAGGAGGATATGTGAAAAGTCGAGTATGTGTATTTATAGAGGAGTGTGACGGCTTGTAGCTGTGAGTGTGTTTGAGTGGCTGTTACTGGGTATATCTGCAAATATATTTACATTCGTGTGTGGATTTGTGGTGTCAACAGAATTGGTTGGGGGCGGGGTTCCAACTGTATAGATGGGGATTATGTATTTGTATCCAAGTGCATTTGTATATGAGTCTATGAGTGTGATTGTGTGCAATGGTTGTCTATGGGGGGAGACATGGCAGAATGTGCTTTGTGCATATATATGTATTTACATGTAAGTGTATTTGTGGGTGACTGCGTTTGGGTATATGGTGTGAACCAAGGTGGTGTGACAGGGTGTGTAAATCGTGGAAGGGGATGTAATTGTATAAGAATGTCCATTTCTTGGATGCATTTATGAGTGTGCGTGCATGCTAAGTCCTTTCAGTCATGTCTAACGCTTTGCGACTCCATGGACTGTAGCACACCAGGTTCCTCTGTTCATGGAGTTCTCCAGGTGAGAATACTACAGTAGGTTGCCATTCCCTCCTCCAGGGGATCTTCCTGACCCAGGGATCGAACCCATGTCTCTTGTGTCTTCTGCATTGGCAGGCAGGTTCTTTACCACTAGCTAGCGCCACCTGGGAAGCCCTTTATGAGTGTGTGTGCCTATTTCTGTAGGAACTGCAGATATGTGTGAGCAAATCTGTGTGTGATATGAGCCTGATTGTGTATGTAGGCATGGAGGTGTGTGTATCTGTGTGAATATATGAGTGTGAGCTCAGATATTTGTGTACACGATGCAATTGTATGGATGTTACTGGGCATACTTGTAAATGCCTGAGCGCCTATTGGAGGATATTTAATATTTGCTTGTGTGTTCCATAGTGTTTTTCTTTTTTTTTATATTGACTGTGGGCCTCTTAACTGTGTGTAATTGTGAACACAGGAGTGTTCGTGAATGTTAGGTATTTGTGTAGGTCTAGATGTGTATATCAGAGTGCAGTTTTGTGTGTGTAGTAAATGTACGTATCTGTTTGGATTTATATGTTATCTGTTTATATGAGCATTGAGCTGTATCACTGAGTGTATTGTGTGTATATTTGTGTGTGTGGAGCTGGTGTTTACGTCTGCGGATTTGTGGATATTGCACCTGTAAGAGTATGTGTATCTGGTTTCTGAATGTAAACTGAGTGTCTGAACGTATCTCTTTATGTATAAGTGCATTTGTGGGTGCCTGGTTGTGAACATATGGCTGCAATGTGTGTGTAGGTGTATGTGTGTAAGAAGTCATACTTTGAATGGCTTTGTGGGTGAATAAGGGTAAGTATTTGTGCATCTAGATGCACTTGGGTGTCATATATGTGAAACTGGGTGGGTGACTTCCATGTAAGGGAATGTGAGTGAGTCTGTGCATTTACAACTATAGAGGGGGTTTCAATCTATACACACACACACACACACAGAACAGTGTTTTCTTGACGGTGTAAAATTCTATGAGATGAAACTGACTACAGCAAGTCAGTCTCTCGAGAACCACCCCCATGGGGGTCCCTGAGCCCCATCCTTCGTAGAAATTGCCCATCTGCTTAACATACAAGGTACAGGGGTGCTTGAGGAGTGGATCTCCTGGTCTAGAGCGGGTGGGAGGCAGGAGGTGGGTGTGCCCAAGGGAGGGGAGCTGGGGCGTGGGCCCTCCTGTTTGGATGTGCCCGTGCAGGAGTGGGTGTGGGCGCACTCACAAAGGGGCCAGTGTGGATGTGTCTGAACACACGTGTGGGATGTGTGTGGCGCACGTGCCCTGGCCCCTATCCCCAACCACCGCCCCTCCCGCCTGAAAGACTTGGATGAGTCCTTTTTCCCTTGGGCTTCAGTCCTTTTTCCCTTGGGCTTCAGTGTCCCCATCTGCGACGCTGTCAGGGGATCCCGGGCTCCGGGGCGTAGGGAGGTGACCTGGCGGGGACGGGCGTGCCTGCGTGCCCTGCCCCTCCTGGGGGCGTGGCGTGTCCTGCCGGCGCACACGTGTCTGTGCTTTCCCTGGGGAAGTTCTCATGACCTTTGTGGACCCCAAGGGCAAACATGCGTGAAGGCGGTGCCTCCCGCTTGTGGGCACTCTCCCGGGGGACGCATTGTGACCACGCAGCCAAACGCTTTCCCGCCTTGGGAGGCGCCTCCGCTAGCCCTCTACCGTCCCGGGGTGGGAGAGCCAGGGGGCTTCCGGTGGTGTAGCGAGCCGGAACCAGTGGCCTCCTGGCGCCCAGCCCCCACACTGGGCGGACTGGAATGCCTGGCTGGGCTGGACCGCCCCACCCACGCCTGCTGGAAACCACGTCCCACCTTCCCCCCCGGGGGCTTGTTCCTGGGGCCCGGGCGGCTCCAGACATACTGACTCTCCAGTTTGCACCAGGCGCCCCATCCTAGCACCCTCCTCCCGCCCTACCGGCATCTTTGCCTCCAGCCTCCTCGCTCACCTGTGGGCCTGGCTCTCAAGCCTCTTAACTCATTCGATGGGCCCTGGTTATTAAACGGGGGTGGGGTGGGGATGACTTAGAGCCTTTGTAGGTCAAGGGTTCAGAACTAAGTTTAGGGAACTGATGAACCCCGTAAAAGCCATCTGCAAAATTCTGTATGTGCAGTGCACTTTCGGGGATTGTGCTAACAGATAACAATTTCCGAGAGTATGATATACCCAGCACAGTCTCATTTAATCCTCACAACCACCCTAGCATAGTATCATACCCATTTCACAGACGGGAAAACTGAGGCCGAGCACCACGAAGTCACATGGCAAGGAGAATGTAAGGAGACTTTGAGCCCAAGTCACCAGGATCCAATTTGCATCTACCTAACAATTATGCTGCCCTTCCATTCCAAGGCTGGCCCACATTCTCTGCATATCTATGACCCTTCAAATAGAGTTGGGTGAGGCCTCTAGTTTTGGGGATCTCAGAGATCTTCTTCTTGGGAAGAAGAAGTTTGAAGTCCCTTTTATGCACCTGCAGCCTATATAGCAAAATGTGGTGATGGGATTCAGGTATGGTCAGTGTTTCTGTCCTCCACACCCCCACAGTATTCCCATGGTGGTCCTTCTGAAGTTTGGCCAGAGTAGAGGGAGATTATTATCAGACCTCCACGGGCCTCCAGGAGACATTTCTAAAATATTTCAAAATAACGTCTTTTAAAACTAAAACACGATGGTGCATTGCCCAGGGTTGTCTCTGTCCTCATGACACTTCCATGCAGAGGCAATAAACAAATCCATCAAAGAGATCATTTCAGCAAGGGACAAAATAGTGAGACAGGAATGAAACAAAGTGGGGGCGGGAGGAGGGAGCTGGAAATAGCCAGGGTGGGGGGCTGCTTCAGTTTGAGACCAGGAGACTTTTTTGAGGAGGGGGAGATGGAGCTGAGACAGGATTGATGACCCGGAACAGTTGGAGGGAGAGCGTTCCAGGCGAGAGCTGCCTGGGCAAAGGGCAAGGGGGGATGGGGAGGCAGGTAAAAGCTTGGTGCTCAGGACAGGTCCCTGGAGCTGGTGTGAGTGAGGCAGGCAGAGGAAGATGTTAGAAGGTTTTGGAGTGCTCCTTAAATTCTCTGAAACGCAGACCCTTTTTTTTTTCTTTTACAATCCTTAAAATGCAATAGAAATTAATTTCTAGGAAAATAAGATTGAAAATGAGATTGAAAAAGACATGCATGGGAATCCCCTGGCAGTTAGGACTCCCAGGCTTTCATTGCAAGAGGCACGGGTTCGATCCCTGATCCAGGAACTAAGATCCCACAAGCCATGTGGCATATGGCCAGAAAGAAAGAAAAAGATGTGCTTAGAGCCAGAAAGCAAGGAACAGCTGACAAGGATCAAGAATGAGAGGATATCATCCACAGGAGTCAACTAAAAGAGTTTCCAGAGGACAAAGCCAGAGCCATTTGAACAGCCGCTATGGAGAACAGTGTGGAGATTTCTTAAAAAGCTGGAATTAGAACTGCCATATGACCCAGCAATCCCACTTCTGGGCATACACACCAAGGAAACCAGATCTGAAAGAGACACGTGCACCCCAATGTTCATCGCAGCACTGTTTATAATAGCCAGGACATGGAAGCAAC